TGATAAGACTAGTTTATGATGATACCTTAGAAATGATGGGCCCTATGAATGGCCTTATATATAATGAATAAAAATCATCCTGTGTGGGTAGCAAATAAAGAGAATAGAAAAATATAATTATCTAGGAGCCTACGTGAACTCGGAATTGGATCCAGATCAGATCAGGTTATAAATATACTCATGGACAAAAATATCAAATATTGTAGAATTTTCTAATTTTTTTGTAGTCACTTTTATTTTAAAATAATATTAGATTACTAATATTACTCAAATAGTAGGCTGATGTACTCAACTGATTTATAATATTTTAACGTTTATTTTGACGTTTATCCAGCGTTTAGTGCCATTCGTACATTTTATCATAAAAAGCATTTTTCATGTAGAGAAAAAATCATACTAATTCGGTTATTTTTAGTTTAATTTATTAAGCCAAATTAAATATTGTTCTGATTTAACTAAGGTTTAAAACAAGTATGCCACCAATTCACCACTGCGATGAAGCCCAAGCAGCCCAGATTGTAATTTTGTACGAGGAAGGATATACACAAAATGATATCGTACGACAGCTCAGGAGAAGTCAATCTACAGTTTAGAATACTTTAAAAAGGCACCACGAACCAGGAAATTGATGACCGTTTTTTGGTTCCTAATTATACACAAAATTGCTCATTGACATCGATGTACCACAGAAATGAGCTACTAAATGTTACTTAATGCCACAAGTTGATGTGAATTTAGAAACAGTAAGACAAAGATAAAAAAATCAAAATAAAATCCTAGACGCCCTGCCAAAGTTACACGTCTTCTCCAAAATCATAAACGTCGTCGTTTTGAATTTGCAAGAACACATATTCAGTGGAATATCGACAACTGAAAAAATGTTTTTTTCACTAATGAGACGAGAATCCTAATATGGAAACCAGATGGTCAAAATCACGTCTACAGACGAGTTAGGAAACGATTCGCCACCTCCTATCTCGCCAAGACCTTTAGTTTTGGAGATGGTGGCATATTGCGTTGGAAAGGCATTAGTTTGGAGGGACTTACTGCACTTGTGAAAGTGATTGGATAGATGAATGGTGACTCCTACGTTCAAAACATCCTGCAAGATTATGTTTTGCCATATGTTGGTTGGTGGAAATAAACGACTATTTATTTTTCAATAGCGGGGGAGAAAATAGAATGTTAGGCACAGGCTTTGTAGTAAATAAAAAGCTGAAAGATCTAATCGTTGACTTCAAACCAATTTCAGAGAGAACATGTGTATTAAGAATGAGAGGAAAATACCAAAAAATAACATTTATAAATATACATGTACCGACTGAAGACAAAAGTATAGAAATAAAGGAAGACTTTTATAATCAAATAGATACAGTCTCCGAAAATATCCCCAAATACGACGTAAAAATAGTGCTAGGTGATAGTAATGCAAAATGGGAAAAGAAGAAATATATGTACCCACCATAGGAAAATACAGCTTGCATGAAACAATGAACGAAAATAGTTACTTCGTAATTGATTTCGCGAAAGAAAGAAATATGATCATTATGAGTACGTATTTCCAACACAAAAGAATGCACCAAGGAACGTGGAGATCACCGGATGGGAAAACCATAAACCAAATTAATCATGTGCTTTTCGAAAAAGATATGCAAAAATGTATAAAGAACATAAGAACATACAGAGGTCCAGATGCAGACTCAGATCACTTTATAGTTGGAATACAAATGAAACAATTTATTCTAGTGCTTAGAAACCAGCGGAAGAAAAAATATAAAGCAACCAAACCTGTGACTACTGACAGAGGAGGAACAAAATAAATATGAAAGAATAGCCAGTAGAGGATTAGATAATACTGCAAAAAGGAGGGATATTGAACAAACGTGGATGCAAATAAAAGTATGTATGACCAAAGCAGCTCAGGCCAGTAATAGAAATATAAAACACGAATACAAAGAATGGTTCCACGATGAATGTAAAATGAAACTAAATGAACGAAATAAATTAAGAATGAAAATGATGCAAAAAAAAACAACAAAGATAGAGAGAAAATACAATGAACAAAGGAAAAGAGTCAAAAGAATAATAAGATCAAAGAAAAGAAAATACAATGAAGATATATTAAAATGTATAAAACAGAGCTATAAAAATAGAGAAATTAGAAACTTATATCAAGGGGTGAAAAATGAGAAAAATGGGTACCAAGGAAAACCTGTATACTACAAAAACAAAAGTAGAAGAAATTTAGTAAGTGACGAAGAAATATTGAGCAGATGGAAAGAATACTTTGAAGAACTTTTAAATGAAATTCCCACAACAGAATATGTAGAGGAAGAAGAAGTGAAGGAAAATGTCGATCAAGAACGAATAGAGGAAAGACCGCCTAACGACAAAGAAATAAAAGAAATAATAGAGAAACTAAAGAATAAGAGCCCAGGAAGAGATGAAGTAACAGCTGAAATGTTTAAATGTGGAGGACCAGTACTAATTAAGCATTTGAAAAAGTTGCTAAAAGACATATTGGAACAAGAAAAATTACCGAAGGAATGGACCGAAGTGACACTGTGCCCTTTTCACAAAAAAGGCGACAAAAGTTTATGCCACAATTACAGGGGAATAGCCCAACCAAATGTTGCATATAAAATACTTGCAGTATATATAAAAGATGAGCTATCTTAAAATATAGAAAATGACATAGGGGAATATCAATGTGGATTCAGAAGAGGGTGCAGCACAGTGGATCAAATTTTCCTACTGCGCGAAATACAAGCAGAAAGCTACGAATATGGGAAACCTACAATGGCACTATTAATCGACTTTAAACAAGCGTTCGATATGATAAAACGCAAAGAAATATACAAAGCATTACATGAAATGGGAATTAGTGAAAAACTGATAAGAATGGTAAAAGTGACACTACGAAGAACAGAGAATAGGGTTAAAATAAATGGCGAAGAAACAGATAAGTTTGAGGTCAGTAAGGGGGTGCGACAAGGAGACCCACTGTCATCTCTATTGTTCAGTATCGTCCTCGAAGTTACCATCAGAGAAGCTGGAATTAACAGGTCAGGACTTATATATCAACGAAAACACCAATGCTTAGCATTCGCTGACGACATTGTACTGATAGCCAGGAGTAAGCAAGAATTAAAAGAAATAACAAAAAGATTAGAAATGAAAACGAGAAAGAAAGGGATGTACATAAATGAAGAAAAGACCAAATATATGGAATGGACAGAAAGAGATTACCTAAAAGAACAATATCTGACAGTAATAACAGATGAAAAAACATATAAATTCGAAGTATTCCAGTATTTAGGAGCGACATTCACGAGAAGACCAAATGTGAAAGAAGAAATCCAAGCGAGAATTATGGCCGGTAACCGTTGTATTTTTGCACTAAACAATTTATTAAGAAGCAAAACATACCTAGAAGGGCTAAGATAAGAATATATAAGACAGTAATAAGACCTATTGTATTATATGCCAGCGAAACATGGACAATGAACAAATCCGAGCAAGTCCTGCTGCAAGTCTGGGAAAGACAAGTCCTCAGGAAAATATTTGGAGGTAAATTATGGAATGGTATATGGATAAAAATACCAAATATGGAATTAGAGGAGATGTATGGAGAACCGAATATTGTGTGGATCATAAAGTCACAAAGACTGAGATGGTTGGGATACATCCAAAGGATGGAAAACACGAGACTGCCAAAAAGAATGCTAATGGGAGAAATAGGAGGGAAAAGGAAGAAAGGCGGACCGAAAACCAGGTGGAAGAAGGATGTTGAAAAAGACATAGAAAAACTTAAAATACCAAACTGGAAAAATAAAGCAACAAACAGAAAAGAATGGAAAAGAATAGTAAACCAAGCCATGGGTCTTATAGGCCTGGAGAGCTAAATTATATATATATATATATATATATATATATATATATATATATATATATATATATATATATATATATATATATATATATTGAATATTTAGTTACATTGAATATGACAGATCGATGTTAATATACAATAATGATACTATTATATATTACAAAGAAATCCTGTTCCATATACTATAGAGCAACTTTGGCTTGCTGCACAAGATGAATGGAATGCAATTTCCTAAGGATATGTCCAAAATTTACTTACAAGCCTGTTAAGAAGGATGTAATAAGACCTAGAGGAGGAAATACTCTTTACTAATCATGCATTTGGTTTAGTTAAAAAGACTTATTCAAGCAATTTAAATCACCAGTTAAATTTAGGCGAAAATATTCTTATTTGCCTAACATTAAGTATTTTTTTTTGGAATTTTCTCCGCATAAAAACTTAAAATTGTTCATTAAACATTGTTAAAATAAACTATTCTTCACAATAAACGACTTGATTGACCAGAATTTATTTTCAAAAAACAAAAATTTGAAAAGTTCGAAATATTTGATATTTTTCTCCAAGAGTGTAGAAATGGTAAGGGTATCCTTTTTAGAATTCAGGCGATTATTTTGTGACAGACATCAGAAAACTGCGCTGAGGTTTGCTAAATAGTACATCTGGTCTCAACTATAGTACAAGGACGTTAACAGCGAAAATAGCTTCAAAGTATTTGAACTTTGTATATATCGGAGGACGGCCAAAGACACTAACGGGGAAGTGTTGAGAAGGACGGGTAATGATCAAAAATTGTTAGGAACAATGGAAAGATGCAAAACTGCATAATTAGAAATACAGTATGTTGCAGATCATCATGCAGGGTTGAATAAATGAGAAAAATGACATGAGTAGAAATAAACGTTATACGAAATATTCATCACTGGACAAACATGGATGTTGAAAGAATTTATCCACGCTGATCCCAACCTTCGTTGATCAGAAATTTATATGACAAAGAAAAAGAATTAAAATTTAGTAAACTTAAGGAAATTGTCTTAAGTTAATACCGGAATTATTATACAATTTTATACTCTAATTTTACGCAAAATACAAAAGAAAAACTACTCACAACGTGTGTTAATATCACAGTAGAATCCGCTTGTTTAATATTCTGTGGATCACTATTAAGCCTATAGCTGTTAACAATGTACAAACTTGTTAAAATAATCGCGACTTTAACAATTATCATTTTAACGTTTAATGGATTTTTACACGGGTAACGGATAAACTTTACGCGCTGTTTTTTCTATTATATATCTTAAAGAAATTTTTATTTTAATGAGAAAACTAGGCCAGGCGTTGAACATTTAATGTTCCACCATTCTCAGATTCTGGGTTTTTCTTAATGAAATGTAATGTGTTAATGGTCATCAACAACAACTTTTGTTTTTAATTATTTATTATCAGAGACAATAAAATTTTATTATCGAAAAAAAATATTTCTGATATCTAGTATAAAAAATTAATAAATGATAAGGAAAAAATTACAATAAATATCTGATTTGTAAATCAAAACTACTTCCAAATCAATCAGTAATATTAGATACCTATACAGAATGTCCCCGAAAATATTACATTCCTTAGGTACAGATATAGGTAGAAGGTACCATGTACAGCAAAAAAGTCTTCTTTTTCTAAATTCAACCGTTTGACCAAAAAACGAAAATACATTTTGTATGTGTGTGTATGTGTGTGTTTGGTGAGTTGGCTTAGAAACTAGTCCTTTAGCAACAGAATTGTAATGTAAGCGAAAGCGCCCACCAAAGTGGCGTGGCATGTAACATGGCAGTGACATAGCACGGGCATGGAACTGGCGTGGTAGGTAGCGCACACCAAAGTAGCATGGCATTCAAAAGAATAGTTAAATTCAAAATGTCATCATCTGAGAACTAAGTTATGCTAACGCTTTTAAATGTCAACGGTATGAATAGAAATCGTCTGCAACGTCAGTTTTTGGTACACCCTTATTGAAAAGAGATGCAAGGGCATAGTGGATTTAATGTATTTAAAGAATTAAATGCTAATAAGCAAAATGCAACAACCTGCTCGACAATTACGGATAAGTAACATACTAATGGACCATGTAGAATCTTATGTGTACCTTGGCACCAACGTAAATGCAAAATGGGAATAGGCCATAGAAGCTCCTCATAAGCAAGGATTTGTCTCTTCCCCTAAAACTAAGTCTAGTTAAATGCTACATTTTTTCGATCTTACTGTATGGTGTGGAGGCCTGGACGCTGACGGAGACGCTCACGAGAAAACTAAACGCATTCAAAATGTGGGTATACCGACGCATTCTTCGTATATCCTGGAGCGAACATGTCACCAATACAGAAGTACACCAAAGAATCGGAAAGGAGAAAGAAATCGTAAATACAATTAAACAAAGAAAGCTTGAATATCTAGGCCACATATTGAGACACGATAAGTACCGTCTGCTGCAATTGATTCATCATCAATTAGCCTATATTTGTCCAATGCTGAACGTATTCTTCTCGTAAAACTTTCCACCTATTTCTATTTTGAGCTTCTTGCATCCAGTTTGTGGTGATTCGCTTGATATCCGTCCATTTAGTCGGTGGTTGTCCTCTGCTTCGATATGCATTTTGCCTTGGTAGCCATTCCAGAATCTTTCTGGTCCATCGATCATCCGTTAATCTGGCAACATGTCCGGCCCAAGTCCATTTAGCCATGGCTATTTTTTCAACATGCGAGCTACCTAGAAGAATAAGTCTGCGTTGGGCTGCATTCGGAAAAATGAGAGACGTTTAAAACAAATATACCGATCCATTTAAAAAAAAAGCTTTTAACCAGTGAGCTCTAGCAGTCCTCACATATGGACTCTCACAAAAACATCAGCCGAAAAATTGAGAAGGACACAACGAAAGATGGAGAGATCAATGCTTGGAATAAGCTTAAGAAATAGAATAAAAAACGAGGAAGTTCGTAGACGAACCGAAGTGGAAGACATTATCGAACATATTACAAGGCAAAAATGAAGATAAGCAGGACATGTTGCAAGAATGAAAGTTCGAGAGTTGGACAAAAAAATTGCTTGAGTGGAGACCACGGGCTGACAAGCGAAGCCGAGGAAGACCCCCAACGAGATGGACCGACGACCTCAAAAGAATCGTGACCAATTGGATAGCAGAGGCGCAGAACAGAAGCAGATGGAAAAATCTAGAGGCGGCCTATGTTCAACAATGGACAACTCAATCAACAACCCTGCTCTTCTTCTTATTTCTAGGTTTGGTACTTTAACTCTGATGGTAATACCTAATATTGATCTTTCCATAGCGCGTTGTGTAACTCTTATATAGACAGTAAGCGTGGGCCAGGCAGGAGAAGACACTCGTGGCTTCAAAATCTGCGGAAGTGGTTCGGGCTCACAAGGTCATGGGAAAAGTTTGGACTAAAAATGACATATAATTATAAGGAAAATCAAAAACTCTTCTATGGCGCATTAAAACAGCTCAGACAAAAGAAAGAACACATGATGCCGAATATAAAAGACAAAAATGGAAAGGTAATAATAGAATAAAACCAAATAATGGAAAGATGGAGAGAACATTTCAAAGAGCTAACTCATACAGACGTAGACAACATAGTGGAGATACAAGAAATAAATGACGAACAAAAATAAGAACCCATAACAACAGAGGAACTAGAAAAGGCAATTGAAAGAGTTAAATTAGGCAAAGCGCCAGGCAAGGATCATATCACCCCGGAAATAATAAAATTCATGGGTATAGAGGGAGTGGACAGCATGAAAGAACTAATGAATGATATCATAAAGAGAGCAGAAATACCACAGGACTGGAAGACAAACACTATACTACCAATACACAAAAAGGGCGACAAGAGAAACTGTAATAATAACCAAGGTATTACTATATCAAGTATTCCTAAAAAGGTATTCGCAAGAATAATAGAAACAAGAATAAAAATCCAAATAGAACCAACTATGGAAGATACACAATGTGGATTCAGGAAGGACAGAAGCACGCAAGACCACATATTTACAATAAGACAAGTAAGTGAGAAAGTAACCAATAAAAATAGAGAAATACATATATGCTTTAATGATCTGGAAAGGGCGTTTGACAGAATCCAAAAAAGGGACGTATGGAGGACATTAAAGGAAAGAGGAGTTGACAGGATAACAATTGATGTAATAAAGGATATGTGCAATAATAATACAAATACGGTGAGAACCAATAATGAGGAATCCAAAGAATTTACTACAAGTCAAGTCGTCAAACAGGAATGCGTGTGGAGTCCACTGCTATTCTCAGTGGTGATGAAGCAATAAAGAAAGCCAAGAAAATAATGAGAAAAATAACATTAGGATACTGGCAAATGAAACAGGCTTAACTATCAGAGCTACTATTTGCAGACGACATGGTTTTGATAGCAGAAAACAGAGAAGACCTACAGAAAAACCTTGAAATCCTAGAAGAACTGCCAAACATAAATGTGAAGATAAACACAGAGAAAACAAAAACAATGATAATTTCAAATAAGAGAAAGACACATGCAATACAATTAAAAGGAAAACAACTAGAACAAGTGGAACATTTTAAATACCTAGGAGTAATAATTGAATCAACCGGTAAACAAGACATGGAAATAAATGAGAGAATGGGACGAACTTAACACTATGAAAACAACATTTTTTGGGAAAAAAAGAAATATAGGAGAAGGTAAAAACGGCAGTTGTTAAATCAGTAGTTAGACCTACAATCATGTATAATAGCGAGTCATGGACGTTGACTGGGAGACAAAAATCGCGAGTGAATGCTTTGAAGATGAGGTTCCTGAGGAAAATAGCAAACAGAAAGAGAACAGACAAAATAAGAAACGAAACAATCAGACAAAACCTAAAACTAGAACAAATAAACAAAAAAATTGTAGGGGGGCAACTAAGATGGTTCGGGCACATGTATAGAATGTCGAATGAAAGATTAACAAAACGAGTGTTTGAAACGAGAGTGCAAGGGAAAAACAAACAAGGAAGACCAAGAGGTAGGTGGATAGACGAAATCACAAAGGAAGTTGAGAAGAAAGGATTGACATGGGAAAGTGCACGAAATTTTACACAAGACCGAAAAGCATAAAGACAACAGTGCAAAACTTAACTCCACCAGCCTTACACCTAACGGTAGAACGGCTTAGAACTAAGTAAGTAACTAAGTTTATTTTTTTAATTTCTTTTTGAAATTTATTTGGTTCAATGGAGAAAGAAAAACATCAAAGACAGTCAATTTTGGTGGACAAACGTTTTGGTTTCAAGTTAATTTATAAAATTACTGAATGTATCACTACTTTTTCAATGCAAGTGCAGTCTTTTTAATGCAATTTTTTTATTTGCGCTATTCTGTAGAACGTATCCACCGCATAAGACGAGTTTTCTTATTCGCCATTGGTTTAGCAAATTTTAATTTTTAAACACGCCGCCTGTATTACGATTTCTGAGGATTATATCAAGAAGTTTCACGCTTCTTTCTATGTAGTGCCAGAAAAAACAGAAGCAAGATGCATTTCTGTTGAAGTATGTGTGTGCTTTTCCTCCTCAGAAGCCCAACAAAAGAGTGGGAAGCTGGACCAGGGTAATGACTTTTAAATATCAAACTTATACTACATCTGTTTGCCAACGGACTTTTTCTACTGTTTTGCAAATTACGAAGCATAGAGTGGCCAGAGTTTTTCAGCGCTTTAAAAGTCGCGGATTTGACGTGCCGATTGAAACTAGGAGAGGCGGTTTTAGAAAATCTCATATTTACTTTGATAAGCGACAGGCTATTAAAACTTTCATAAAGCGACTGAATCCTGTGAAATCTTATTATACTTATAGTTGCCAAGTATGCCTTGAAAGTGAATTGAGTATTGCCAAATTGTCTGTATTTCACAATCTCTCAGTAATTCACATTTTTAACACTTTATTTAATATTAGTTTTAAAACCCCATTTACTGACGAATGAATTTTTTGTTTAAAAATGGGAGAACGCTTGAAAGTTGAGAAAATACTGAAGTTTGCAAGGAGCTGTTGACCAAAAAGCGTATACATAAAAGAAAGACCAAGTGTTATTTTAAAAAACTGAACTGAAAAACCTGACTTTTATCATTGATTTTTTATAATTGTTTACTTTTATCGTTTGATTGCCAAATGAATTTGATATTGCCACGAGTAAGCGATCAGGCTGTATACTATAGC